CAAATTTGGTGTAGAAACTAAATTAAATGTAATCAACTTAGAATTGCCTTTCAAAATTTAGAAACAAATCAAAGATCAGATGAAAAGAAAATCCACCACAAGTGTGATGCATTGCGTTGCAGTAAATATCATTTTTTATAAGTAGAGGTTTGGAGTTCCAGATAGCTTGCTTTATGACAAAAAAAGAAAGAAGCCCTTAAATTTAATGTTTATGGTTCAATTTTTAATTACTTTAAGTACCAAAAACAAAAAAAGGAGAGGATGTCGGACGTCCTTTGAAATGACCAAACGAAACAGCAGTGAAATGTAACCATACATTATTCCTTTCAGAACTATATTGTTTCCGCGTATTTTGACAGTTGAAAAGAAAAAGACATATCTGTAAGTAATTTCATTTCATGCAACTAAGTTGACTTTCTTCTTACTTATTCCGCCCACCACCAAAGCATAGTGCCTGGATATATGGTGAGTGGCTGGCCTGGCGTCGGTTTTTAGTTTCAGTCCATTTCGTAAAGTGTGACATGTGCCTTTAATTTAATAATTAAGTTCCATATGTTTCAGACTAGTTCCCACTTAGAATAAGATATTTCATAGTCTAAAATTTTCTCCTCATCATATATATATTATTTTATTGAAATTTTAAACTTGGCAAATAAGTTAATAAAGTGTTACATATATTTTTAAAAGATATAAAAAAATTAATTAAAAAATAGAATAAAATATGTGTCAATTTTTTAATTTCATTCACACAATTAAAAAATAAATATCGACAATTTATTAGATATTAACAACTTTATATATATATATATATATGTCCAAAGTTAATGTAACAGGTTTAATTATTAATTACTAGTGATTCGATGAATGTACGAAACAACGTATAAGTTGATCAGTCGTGTAATTTGTGATTCCATGATGTACGAAACAAAGTGTAATTTGTTGATAAATTCCAATAATTTAAATTAATACTCAGCAATCTCTAATGTATAAAAAAAAAACTTATAATTTTGGATGTATCTTTTATCTATATATATTTTTTATTATTTACTTCTTTTGCTATGACTACAGAAAGCTTCCATCTATCAAAAGAAAAAGCTTCTAAGATACATATAATTAAAGTGCAATTACATCTATTGTTCAGATAGCATTAACTCAAAAAACATTAAAATTAACATTTAGATACATGAACATTTGGTTTATTACTTAAATAAAATTACTTAAATAAAATTAAATTAAATAAAAAATTTTAATTCAATTACTTTTTAAAAATAATATAATAAAAACAAACATCAATAATCTTTCACTTTGCTCCAAATTGGAGGTATGTATTCAAAAAATTGGACCAAAAAAGAAAAACAAAGCCGGCCTTGTTGGGTGTCGGCTTTTGAGGTTTAGTTTGTTCGGCCCACAGGCTAGCAGAACAGAGGCGGGGCCCAAAAGAAACCAGCAGTGTGGTCTTGTCAGCCTATGTAAGAAAAGGGCGAAGGAATTAACTTTAAAAAAATGGCTAAAAAAGACAGTTTTGATTGCTTTCGTGCCTCCATTAACATTTGAGCCTAAAAAAGCAAGCGTTTTTTGGCTAAGCTGACAGTTAATGCAGGTGACAGTGAGTCAAAAATATAATCATATGGAAACCATTGGATTGATGGGATAGGACCATGACGTGGCATCATGAAGGCAGAACTTTTTAAGACGTAATTTATAAAATAAAGGAAGTTATTTTGAGAGATCTGAAAGCTTTGTTGTTCTTAGGTGAAACCGGGGAATCTTCATTCTCAAATGCAAGTTCAGATACGGATGTTTCTTCATCTCAAGTAAGTTCTTTTTTTTTTTTTTTTTTTTCCTTTTCTTTCTTTGGTTTTGTATTGGCTATTTTTGTTTAGCGTTAAAACCTTTGACTTTTTGCGTTACCTTTTTGATTTGGTAAATGGGTAGAGTTCAAAATTTTGCTAGATTTTTTTTTTTTTTAAGGTTTAGTAATTAAAGTGATTTTTTTTTTTTAGCTTTAGTAGAAGCAGCTAATTTTGGGTGTTGGGTATTGATGATCACCTGCTCAATGGTGTGAAATTTGTTGAATTGACAGGTTAAAGCTTTGTAATTCAGCTTATAGATGTGGTTTTTGGGAAGTTTTAAGTGCTCGAGTTGAGTGGGCACTGTTCAAAACTGCAATGCACTGAGTTATGGTTAAGAATTTATCGGTTTATGGCACAGTTGCGGGGGGCCTTGTTATAATTGAGCTTTCCTTATATAATTCTAGAAGATAATAAAGAAATGGGTGAAAAGTTTTGAATGGATGAGGAAGGTCAGGCTAAGGTGGAATCTATTTTGGGTATTGAAGCCTTTGGCTTCTAAAAATGTGTTGTCAGAGTTAGTTACTCCACCACCCAGTGATTTGGGTGTGCAGCAAAGGCTTGACCAGATCGTAGACAGGTCAAATTGGAACCATGCAATTTTCTGGCTCGAGTCAAGTTTGAAATCTGGTGGATCTATCTTGATTTGGAGTGATGGGCCTTGCGGGATCCTAAGCTTGGTGGAGTTGGTGATGCCAATATCTCTGGGAATGGCAAATTGGAAGGGGTTAAGAAGAAAATGAGATGAAAAAGCAGTTGCTCCAGTGGCTGCACGCATGCCTTGGTGGGTCAGAGGAGGATGGGCTATGCTACAAAGTTGGATGGAGTATGGGATATGGAGATGTTTTATCTCACTTCATTGTACTTTACATTTCAATGTGATGCATAGGTTCCTGGAGACTACAAGTCTAACAGATCAATTTGGACCTCAGATGTGAATAGTTGTTCAGATCATTATCAATCAAGATTATTTTTAGCGAGATCTGCTGGATTGCAAATAGGGGTGTTTGTATCTGTGAAGTCTGGAGTGGTGGAGCTTGGTTCCATCAATTTGATTCCCGAAGAGCAGAATATTGTGGAGATGGTGATTATTGTGTTTGGTGGATCCAGTTCTGTACAGACAAACAATTCCAAAGATATTTGGATGTGAACTAAGCTTGGGTGGTTCAAAGTCACGATCAATTAGTATTAACTTCTCTCCAAAAGTGGCAGATGAGACAGGCTTCATGTTGGAATCTTACGATGTTCAAGCTCTAGGTTCCAATCAAACTTATGGTAATTCTTTTAATGGATGTCGAAGTGATGATGGTGAAGCAAAGTTGTTCCCATAGTTGCTTGTTGGAGGTTTGAATGCTCAAGTGAGAATTTCTGGTTTGGAGCAGCCTAAGGATGACTCGTTATCTTTACCTGATGAGCGGAAACCAAGGAAGAGGGTAAGGAAGCCGGCCAATGGGAGAGAAGAACCATTGAATCACATTGAAGCAAAGCGGTAGAGGCAGCAAAAGCTTAACCAGCTATTCTATGCGTTAAGAACTTTTGTTCCTAATATCTCTAAGATGGACAAGGCTTCTCTACTTGGTAATGCTATTACCTATATCACTGAGCTCCAGATGAAGATTAGGGTCTTGGAAACTGAAAGGGAGATGGTAAACAATATGTAGAAGCAGTTGTCAATGCATAATATAGTTTTTCATCAAAGGCATGAAGATGCAGTTGTGACAACGCACTGCCCCTTGGATGCTCACCCAGTCTAAAGTCTTAAAAGCCTTGGAAGAAAAATCTAATTACAGCGCGCACGAGTCTGACATATCAACAACAGATAATAACAAGGTTGTCCACCCCTTCAGTATTTGCGCCCCAGGTGGTGCCGCTGAACAATTGAAGGAGAAACTGGTAGATGCTATTTCCAAGTGATATTCAGGTAACAGTTGTGTTAATAACGCTGTGCACCAACTTGTAGAAAGATGGGATTCTGCACTAACACATCACTGATTAGTGTCTTTATTTCTATCAATGATATGTACTCTTTAACTCTTTTAAATGAATTTGTTTTGTCGAATCTGTGAAGACGTTGAGTCCCATTGTGATCTTTGTTGAATTTCCCAAGGAAAAGAAAAAACCAAAAGTGCAGGGATTAGATGCACGACAAGGAGACTCTAAGCTTGCATCTCATATTAAGACAACTTCAAGTTATTAAGTCCACCAAGTGTTGTCGGTTGTTGCATAACATCTGATCTTTCCTTCTGTATTGAGTTGCAACCTATACCAGTTATTACGCTTTATGTATTTGAACTTAATACATGATTTTCTAACTCCCTTCTCGTATTGAGCTAAGATTCATCTTTTCTATATTTGAACAGTTATGTTTTAAATAGCCAACAATAATAGCAGAAGGGAATGAAGAGTTAGATTATGATTGCTCATCAAGAAAGTGGGCCGGCCCTTTCAAGTAGGCGGGACCTTAGGGGCCAGCCAGCTCAAGCGCGCACACGTGCCCACTTGGTCGATAATTTTAAGGTGGTTATCTTGTATGATATTTCTTTAAACGAGGGCATTTTAGAAGTCTGAACTTTTCACTGTTTGAAAGGAGTATGCTAATTTATTCGGGAATTCACTTAAAATATTCAAGTCAATCTTAAGTTTTTTCAAAGCTAAACATATATTCTTGCGGCCCTTAAACTAAATTCTTTCCGTTGTTTGATTTTGAACTTTGGAATAAGATTGCTAAGACTGTTGCAGGTAAATCTGAAGCTTTTTTTCTTCATTTCTATCCCGAGGTGCAGGATAAGCTTGCATCTCACGCCCTACAAGGCTACCAAAGGTCTCTTTTCAAATTTATACCGGATGATTTCAACTCCATTGGCGACAAAATTTTGTTGGGGCTGACAAATGATCCACCCGTACTCAGAACCATATTATTTTGGCAATAATATAAACATAAATCGTCCACGTTCCCCACTTTTTATGACTGTTTGTGGTTGAAGCTGCCGTGTCGTTAATCAGTTCCGCCTCGTTTCAAGCTTCAAACCACGGCTTAGTCAAATTCATAGATTTTCAGAAAGTCCCTTTCAGGCTGCTGTCAAACCACATCCATTGAATAAACAGAGAACACTGCTCTCTATATAAATCCTGAACCTCATGCCAATCTCATCCGATACCACATATCTTCTATTTCTCTCTAATTGCTCTACTCAAACTCAAACAAGAAAAATAAGAAAAAAAATTGCATAGTAATTTTCTGTCCAGTAAAGAAAGATGGTATTCTCTCATAGGAAAAACCTATTTAAAACTGTATTCTTTTGCTGCTTTTTAGTAGCCTCACTTCAACTTGGAGCAATGAGGCCACTGGATGGGGAGCACTGGCTGGCAAAAGATGAGCTTCTGCTTCGATCACTCCAAAAAGGTCAGGAGATAGGGTCCGAACACAATCCATGCACAAACATCCCTGGAAGCGAAACCGGAGTCTGCAAGCTTGGCGGCATGAACATAGCTGGTAATGTTATGCACTCGTCTACCGCATTTCCCAGCGTTGTTGCTGAGTTTCGGGCGGCTTCCACTGCCAACGGGACTCATGATCAAGACAAGATTTCTTAATTGCTACAAGTTTAGCCATCCAAATTCAGAATTCAAAATACATATTAATGTGATCAAAAATTTTTTTCTCGCTGTTTCCCATATTTGTAAATTCTTTTGTTTATTAATTCTTGCTTAGGGCAGCCAATCCAAGTAATGTTTAGCTGGGAGGTAGGATCGATGTTCATTATTTTATTCAAAATGTTTTGTTTTTCTTTCTTTCTTTTCCTTTCTAATTTCTAACGCTGAATGTTTTATTTACGTGAGAAAAATGGTGAAAGCAACACCAACTACTTAAAAAAAAAAAAGCCAAAGTAAATAGTTTTAATGTCAAGTTGAAAGGATCAGCATCGACCCAATTCATACAGTAGGCAGTATTTCAAAACCAACGAAAATAGCTGGAGTTTGATCTAGTTGACGTAGAAGCCTCATTTTTTCCTTGATACTATGGTCAACGATAACACCCAAATTTTGTTTGAGTTAATCTTTTTCTTTTCAAACGATTTTAATGATGCAAACTCTTACATCATCCTCCTAATGCATTGAGGATTTTAGTCCAAAAATGTTCAATGATGGAAGTACCCTGTTCCGGCTAAAGTTTAAACTCAACTGAACTGAATTAGAGGTAGCACTTTACAAGCTATAATCTTGTGGACAACTCTGACTAGTTTCAACGGCAAATTTTGAAACATGATTTGGATTTTTTGTTTGAAGATGAAGAATACGAAATGATATTTTTTTTAAAAAGAAAATTGTCTGTTGTTGAAAAATTAGCAGCAATTTCTTAGTTTCATTATGTTTTTACACTTTTCCAATAAAATTTAGATAAAGTTTTTTAAGTGAAATTAGTGAAAAAAATTTTTTAAAAATATTTAATAAAAAAATTTAAATCGATAAATTAATAAAATTTAATATGAGATCAATAATATGTAAAAAATTTATTAAAAACATTGTTTGTAATTTAAATTTAATTAGTATTTATTTAACGATAAAAATTTTATCAAAATTTTTACTAAAAATACTTATCTAAAAACTAAATCAAGATTTATGAAATTTTTTAAAAATTTTGTATAATTAATCTATGTAACAAAACTTTTTAATCTATTGATTTTTATTTTCAGTTTTAAATTTTATTTAATTATTTTTAATAGGAAATTTTACAAGTTTCATCTAAAAAATTCATTTAAGTGTTTCCCACGTTTAAAAGGTATTTTGAATTTTCCCTATGCTTTCGTGATGATTGCTATTGGTTGTATTTGGAAACTTTTTGTTTCTTGCTTTATAAATATTAATTTGCATTAAAAGTTTATTAGCATAGGAAAAAGTCGGACTGTTCCAAGAAAGAAACCAACAAAAAAGAAATTGAAAAGGTCAAAGGATTCATGAAGGACCAAAAAAAAAAAAAGTCCACAAAACGCAAATGGAATCATTTTCTAGTTTTTCAAACTGCTTGCGTGCCTTGACTAAAATGTTACATGTCATGACATTTTAACACTTTTTTAAGCCTCATGTTTTGGGGCAGAGACATCCATATTAGCTAGGCAGGCCATTGGCAATAACCCAATCGGGCATTGAAGAGTTATAGAATGAAGAGAGAGTTTTTAACTATTTGAATTAACGTTAGTCAAAAGTTTAACATCCATCATTAAGACGACAGTAGGTGAACCAAAGAAAAAGTTCATGCATATCACATTGTTCTTTGCTAAATAATCAACATGTCACATTTTAATAGTTAAAATTTAGTAAAATTGAAATCTCATATTCCAATCTTGAAGATGTTATACGTGTAACTAAGCTGTAGACTTTCCCATTCTCAATGGAACAGCAAGTAGTATTCATTCTTTTAGTTTGCATCATGTAATTTTTTTTCCCTCTTTTGTTGTCTTCCATATCTATCATTTATTTAATCCTTTAGTTGTCCTTGAAATGAAAAATTAAATGACATATATATATGCACCACTAACTCTTCTCATGTGGTAAATTGGAATTGGATATTAAAGTCGGAGCATTCATATCTCATTTGTGTATATGTTATAAATAGCTATATAAGTATATCCAAAACTTAATTTTCATTTAATTATTTTTAAGAAGTGCTATTCATTAGGTTTGGATTTTCAAATTTCAACATCTTTATTCTCATAAGCAACCTCCTTTTGCTTTAAAAAGTTAGCTATATATAGATGCCAAAGAAATGAAACAAAGCAAAAACTTTGATTGTTTTATTAAAAATTCAACTTGTGTTTAGCAAGTGCTTCATGTATCTAAACAAAGACAAAGAGTTAATAATTAATAGCAACAAAGGAGAACATTAATCAGGAATGTTCCCATTATTTAATTTCCTGATCATACTATTAACAGCTAAAATAATAAAGTAATAATCAGTTGCATTCATTTGAGATTATGCTGCCGCACTAAATGGAACCATTTGGTCCGGTTGCAGCCGTAGAGGAGCCATAACATGGCCTGCGAAGGCCCTCTGGCCGATGCAAGGTGGGCCTCCATTTTTAGGAATGTTGGTGCAGCCATTGGGTCCAGACGGAGGAACAGGTACTCCCTTTTGGAGAGACTGTAGCGCAAGATCATCTTCACTTAGAACCCGGCCGCAAGCCTGGTATGGATGGGTGCTTACAACAAAAATCACAGCTGCAATGACAAGAAAAAGATTTAGACACCTCATTTTAACGTATATGGGAATGGGACAAAGCTAGCACAGATATAACTAAAGAAGGTCGATCGATGTAGCCCTGAATGTGAAGATAGGCGTATTTATAAGTGTTTATCGCAACTTGAATGACTAGGAATACTTTGACTCTTGACCTGAGTTTTTAAGGGGGGGAAAAAAAGCATGGTTTATAAATTAAATAATAGCATCTGAAAGTAAAAAATGGGTTGCATGTCAAGTTGGTGGCGTCATGTAATTTACACATCAATGGTTGAATCAAACAGTAGTGTCAATTGGCATGTGGGTTGGACTATGGATTTTGGGTTTTTCTTGTTCTCTTCCGAAGCTAGCTGATCAGCATTCCCTCCCGGTGGAGACGCGCTTACTCTGGCCTTTAGATTAATATCTGTGTGCCTAATTTGAGAAGCATTTAGTACACGAAATCGCTTGGAAAATGGGAATTCAAGGATAAGGAAATGAAGTGTAAAATGGGAAAATAGGCCTTAATTTCTTGCCTTCCAAGCCGCATGGATATAAACAAACAAGACCTAAACATTAAACAAGGGCAGTGACTTATTGATATCCGAAACAGCATGAAGTCGTTTTATCCCATCGTTGTTAGAACATCGGCTAAGTGATGACGATCATTGGTTTATATATGTGCAAAGATTAAATGGATACGATTATTACCCTACATAATAAGAAGTTTGCTTTTATAATTAATTAATTATTTAATTAAGAGTATTGTTGTAATCAATGGACGACTACATCAACTCCACTTTGTTTAGGACACTGCAATAAACCACATAAATATATATATATATATATATGCCTCATTTTGTTAGGAAAAATTAAGCAAAGACAATTTGGGATAAAGATTTTTTTGCATGGGAGTTGGGAGATGCATGCAAGTACTTGGATCAATCACTTTATATACATTTTTTTTATGACTTATTTTGACCTTGTGAACCCAAGAAATTAGAAATTGAATGAATCGATCTTTAATTAGTTTTCTTATCTAGCAATTATTATCTTTTGGGGCAGATAATGATTTGTAATTAGCAAAAACTCCGTAAACTATTTCTGCTCAAACTAGGTATCAGTTTTCATAGATTCTGAAATGTTTATTCTTTTTTTTTTTTTAGATTAATATAAAAAAAGGTTGCAAGTGTTGATTTAACAGCAGTTTTTTTTTACTCAAAAACAAAAATAAAAAAGTATAATCCATAATTAATCTCTATTAAATTTAAGTTCATGTATAGAGGTGTGTGTATGTATATCATATATGATTCTTTAAAAAGAAAATCATCTTGAAAAAAGGTATAGTAAAAATCAATTTAATAATTCTTGAAAAAAAACAAAGAAGACAATTCATCCCATCAAAAGTTTACCAATATCACCCAAAAGAAATCGTAATAATAATAAAAAAAAAAGTTAGTTAGTATTTCTGTTTCTTTCTGTTTTTCCTTTTAAATTGCAAAATGATTTCTTATAAAATAAAGAGATGGTAACTGGAAGCAAAAGAATTTTATTTTTAAATTATAATTATAATATTTAATTTTAAAATTATTAATTAAATCCAAAAGAATTTCAAAAATTTTCACTAAAAACAAATCTCACTTAATTGTTTTAGATGTATAGCTGGATGGATATCAATGCAGACTTGAAAGTATGGAGTCGTGAATAGAGCATAGTTGATCAAATTGTGGGCAACAAGTCTCCCAAACTCTCCCATCAAAATCTATTGGCTTGTGTTATATATCATGCCATTTACCGGATAAAGATCATGGTGGAAGAAATTTTCTATTTGTTTTATGAATTTTCAGCAATTAGCATGAACTAATAAATGTTGTTTCCAGGTAGCAACGCGGTTGGACTATTGACCGGAGAGTTTCTGTTCCATTGCTTCCTATGGGGGCAATTTTGAAGGTGAGGAAACTTGGAGGAAGCGTAGTTACTCAGAATTAATTCTTTGAATATGTGTGAAATTTTAGTCACAGGTTTTCTGTGCTATGCTTTCACATTACACGAAATTTTCAATTTACTGGGGAAACATTAATTCGGATACCGTGAGGAGACTGAAGGAAAAGAAGACATGACCTGACCCGTCCCAAATGGGGGATAACGAGAAATGACTTATTCAACATGGGATTGGTGTGTCTTTAGAGGCCGAATTCTTTAATCTTTTTAGTGGAGGAGAAACACGAGTTTGGAAAGACTTGGACAAAAGACTGCTACTTTTTACTGCTTGCGAACAGAATCAACATTCCCGCATTCGTTGCAGAGATCAAACGTTTGCAGAAACTATTTATTCATCATAAGAAAAAAATTACATGAAATAGTTTTTATACTATTTATTACTACAATTATTAATAAATTTGTTAAAATAAATATTTATCATTTAATTACAACATCTTATATGAGTTAAGTAATTATTTTTTAAAAATGTTATTAAGTGACACAATTTAAATGGAAGCAACATATCCTTCCATATAATCATTTCTTATATTCTCTCCAGGTGATATCTTATTTCTGACGCAACGCAAATAGGGCTTCACATTCATTTAGAAAAACCTGATACTTACCCATGCAAAAGGTAAGTTTCAATATCCTATGCAATTTTTAAAGGTAATAACTGAAAAGAATCAACATAGAAAACATCATAGATGATGGGAGAACCGATGATGCATAAACTTTACTGCCCCTAAAACAGGAGATATCCATACATGTTATATGTTTCTCCCCAAGGCACTGTGGCTGTTGTGACCGTCGATTTTCTATTGAATCAATTCTGCAAGTAACATCCCATCTAGAACAAAACCTAATGAACTCTACTTGGCACTTTCACCAATAAATAGTTGATTCCCTATATTATAAGTAGGGCAACACAGAGACCATGATTCTAGCAGATACATACAACCTAAAATAAGTACTCAAATGAAGACAACAGAAAAGTGAAACACTTGCTCCGTTTGCTAGATTTTCTATAAAACTGAAACTAAACAAGCATATAGAGCAAAACAAATGTTACAAACAATGCTCCTTTTTTCTAACAGGTTTGGGGAGTCAGGCACTTGGTACACTAGTATTAGGAAAAAAATAAAATAAAATAAAACGAAAAGAATGGAAGGAGCAAGAATGTGTCACGAATAAACCAACACAGAAATACGGAGTTAGACAAAGTCAACTTTGTTCCTCTGAAACAGCCCATTCCTTTTCCTTTCCTTCTTCAATAAGTCTGAACAACCAGTCAGGCCGGAACCCTTCAAACAATCTCTATGAAGAAGGCTAAAAAATAACACTATCCAAAAATTATTCACCCACTCGTAAGTCCAGGAAATATGCGACTGACGTAGTAAATAAAATGCAAGAACAGGATAGAAGGAAAATAACTATATATAGTAATTCAATTGCACAAGCTATTGTTCCTTCTATCCATGTGGCATCTAATGACATATGGGCGTTTACATCTATTTAGAATTACCAGATACATAAAGTCATACAAGCGAGAATCGATATTTATCAATATGTACTATATACAATACAAATAGAGGATTATCACAAGTATCAACAGACATCATACATGAATGGGCAGACTAATTACGTACAATTAACTGCTCTAAGCAGGAGAAATTCTTACATCTACAATTGAATTGTGCACATAACTGTGGTGCTGAAATCCAATGGTTGTTGGAATGGTGGCCTTGTGACAAGGCATCTCCAGGTCTTCTTCCTAGGATGATAAATCTGGATAAACAATGTCCCTGCCCTCTTCTGCTGTCGTGACCGTCGAGTTTCTGTTGAATCAATTCCATTTACAATAGTCATTACATGTAACTCCCCATTCAGAACAACAAAACCAAATGAGCTCTTGTAAGGAGCTCTCCTTGGTACACTGGACTCATTTTGCCAAGAATTTGAAGCCATGTTGTATCTGAAGAGAAATAAAGCAAAGATGAGTGTCTTGTATTTCAAAAATAAGGATTTGAAATAAACAGAAAGATGAATAACTTGAAATTATGGTTCTTCTATTAAAAAAGAATCCTAAAGGGAAATTGAAAAAGCATAACATTCTTAGAAAAAAATGCATGTTTGTTGTTGATAGTAGATGGAATCATGCAGGTTAGTACTATCATCTGAATAAATGGAACCAATTAAAAGAGGAAAATGTGCCACAGAAAGAAGAGATTTAACAACCGTCTAACAGCAGAGATGTAACAACTATCTGAACAGGCAAATAGGCAGAAACCAACCCTTGCGTCCAAGTCAAAGAAGTGCAGAAATTTAAAATTCTTATCTTCAGTAACCAAGCCTTAACAAATAGTTAGCAAGAAATACATTGAATAAAGTCAGTGAAGAAGGACAGGTTCCAGGTATCAAATGAAGAACCTGTTCAGTTGGTGAGAAAGTTCTTTTGCGAGATAATATTCTTAAATGATGGCATTAGCGTCATGGTTATAAATTATAATTAGTAAGGCCATTAGAACGTCTCAACATCCAGATGTACACAACATACATTTTTTCAAGAACACACACTCTCTCTCATCTGACACACGCACATACAAAGTTATGCATTTTTGCTATAGAAATATTGTCAATTATTGTCAAGTTAACTTGATTTTAACTATTGATTAATATATATATATATATATATATATATATTTATAAATTTAGAATCTTAAAACTTGACAAGCAAACCAGATAGTTAGAAATATCCTCATTCAAGTCGTGCAAACATGAAGAACTAGTAACTAATCAAGCAGGCACCAGTAACTTAAGTAAAATATTCTAACTTGACAAGTGTATTTGCAGGTAAGGATGGCTCTAATCATTAACCCCAAAAAAGGAAAAAAAAAGCCATAATGAATCAAAGCTTTTGGCTATGTTCTTGCAATAGATATTTCTGATACCAATGGAATATGGTTCAATCCCGCAACTGAATATATTATTCAACTCAACCATAAAAACAATATTTAAGGCTTAGACTCAAGTAATTAGCTTAATTCAATTAGTTTCCACCGCACGTCTTGCTTCAACTCCATGAGTTCTTTTGCCCCATGTTCCAATATTTGAGAGCTGACACAAATTTCAGAACTGAAAAAGGACAAAATTATTATAGATTGAAAATAAAGAAAAAATTTTCCTACTTTTTTCCTCCAACCCAGTCTATTGAAGGTGAAAGGAGCCAGCATTTCTTGAATTCAAGTAGATCCTTTCAATTTACTCATTATCCTTCATTGAAGTACTTGGTAGCTTTATAACATTATGTCCAACATCCTCAAAGTCAAAGAATAGCAACTTTGCAATATGGCAGAATGCCACAATTAATATTTCCAAGAAAACAATCAACGAAACCAAAAGAAATATCAAATTAACTATCTCAAAAAAAAAAAATTACCTGAGGATATCGTTATCATCAAGCATGAAAATAGCAGGGCAACCCCCTTCCTCATCCTCCACCACAACGATTTTCCCAAGCCTAGGCCGCTCCCCTTCCCCCCACATATCCCCAACTTCCCTCCACTTCCCACCCCCATTTTCCTTCAACTTCATCACCACAGCATCCTTGTAATACTCATCCACTGGAAACACTCCCGAGACAGTCCTCGACTCCCCGTACCCTCCCATCACCCAAAACTCCCTCTCTTCCCCATCTCCTCGAACTGTGAACCCAACGCAACCGGCTCGAAACCTGGGCAACCCGTCCAATTCTTCCCACTCATCTCTTTCCACGTCGTACCTCTCCACCGAACATATCCTACTCCCTGCAGCTCTAAACATGGTGTGCCTGGACCCACCCCCGGCGACGATGATTTGATCGGCACTATGAATTGCAGCACAGGCGAAGCTCCCGCGTGGGGACAGCATGGGGGCGAGACGGTCCCATGTGGAAGTAAGGAAGTTATAACGGAAAGCCGATGAAGACGGAGAAGGACGGTCGAGAGGGAAGGTGCGGGTGTCGAAGAGGGACCCACCGAGGACATAGATGTGTGGCCCGAGGGAGATGGAAGTGAAATTGCAGAGTCCGTACTCGTGAGGGTTACATGGCATGGGAGGGAGAGGACGCCAGGCCAACTGTTCGGGGTCGAAGAGGAAAGGGGAGGAGATGTGAGGATCTTCGGGGAAGATGCAGAGGAGGTTAGAGATGCAACGGCGGCGATTGTGACGGCGAAGGGAGAGGAGGGTTTTGGAGGAGAGGAAGAAGTACCAGGGCTTGCAGGTGGGCTTGAGGCGGCAGTGGTGGGAGTATGGGAGGAAGGAAAGGATATGGGCTGCGACGTCGTTTGGAAGGCCAGGGATTAGGGTTAGGTTTTCGTCGATTTCGAGGAGAAACGTAGATGCTGATGACGATGATGATGGAGGGAATGGCATTTCTTTCCTCTTCCTCCACGAAAAATTAGTTTCAATTGCTGAAACTAAAAGGAATCAATTTCCCAGTAGCAGTAGCTTTGATCTGGATAATTGAAAAGGATTTTCCAGGGTTGGAGGAAAGTAAAGTAACGCCCTTTTGTTCGTCAAATCAAATGCACCAAACAATCTAAAGGGGCACAGCTTGGTCTGGCGTCGCTCGTATTTTTTATTCCAAAGGCAATGGAATAGATAGGGGCTAAACTAGTGATCAAGAGGGCACTATGTAATTGGATACACATAAAGCTGCCCAATTAACTCCTTAACTTATAGCCCACTGCCCACTGCCCAATGCTTTGCTCGGGTCATCCACTCTTGCTTTGCTTGCATTACCACGACCATAATCATTATGTAATTTTGTTTGTCTAAAATTATTAATTTATATTTTAAATGATGACATATCTAGTAAATATAAAATTAAAATGTATCTTATCCAATCCAGTTTAAATATTATTTTTACATTGAAATTATATTGACCCATTTATAAAATATATAAATATCGGTCTAATAAATATTTTTTTTGTTCGAAATTCAAAATTTAAACTCTATTTTTTTAAGTTATATTCATAATTAAATATTATATTTATACAATTAATTAATAAATTATAATTTAATTAAATAATCATATTCATACGCAATTAAAAATTAAACTTAAAACCTCAAAATGCTAAAATATCTTTCTTATCACTAAATCAAAACTTTATTTATGTTTAGAATTTAATTTGGTTACGTTTAAAGCACATTAAGAAAAAAAGTGTGATAAACTTTTCATACAATGTTGGTACAATGCATCATATAACCAACTTTCATTTAATGTTAAATTAGTAAAAAAAATGACATTATAACATCATCATATCTCATTCTTATTTGTTATAAAAATAAATGAATCATATGAATAAAAGAATATATTTTTTACAAAGAATTTATAATTTAGGGATAGAAAATTAATTATAAGTGTTAAAATTTAAACTTATTAAATATCGTTTATTGTATGAATAAATTAAGTTCTATTTTTATAAAAATTTATTTGGAAAGAAAACTTAAGGAGATTTTGTATTTTTTAGGAATAAACTGAACTAGGTTTATTTGGAAATGAGTTTTGCTTATTGTGAAGGTCTTTTAATGGGTTCTTGGAATAGACTATGAGATATGAAAAAGACATTTGATTGTTAGGGGAGGATTTTTGTTTTTTAGGAAGCCCTTCCCTATTAAATATTTAATTAAAAGTCATATTTTATTAAAGGAGTAATTAGATTTGAGTAAGCAAATGCCTAAAGATTGTGTTAGGTTATTTTATTTTGTAAGTGCTTCTAATTAAAGTTATGTTTGGATTAATATTAGTAAAATATATATATATATATTTTAAGAGAAAGAAAAATGATACATATACTCATGCTTTGGATATTTAAAATTAATAAAAAATATATGAGAAAAGAAATTGTAATTGGTTAAATAATGGAAATGAAATGATTTATTATAATATATATTTTAATTATATCATGAAATGTTTTATTTACCATGTGAATAATCTAAAAATTAATTTTTTAAGCAAAAAATAAAAAAATCAATAAAAGAGATTAATTTTTATTAATACATAAAATAATTTAGGTTTGAAATTATTTATATATAATTTTATTTTATTAGAATTAATTTCATTGAGGAAATTTAAAAATCTGAATATGTCTTAGTAAATAAAATTACTTGTAAAATTGTATTAATATTTCACTACAAGTCTAACAAGCTCCATAGGCATAATTTCTATAATTGTATGTATTTTTTATATAAATATTTTTTTCTAAATTTATGAAATAATAATAAAATATCAAAATATATAAGATCCAACGTAAATTAAAAAAAATAAAATATATGATTTTTTTTTATTGACAATGGTAAGTTACCTAAATTTGATAAAAAAAAAGTAAATATCAATACAATTTGTTAAGTTTATAATGCATTTTGGAAAATTAAAAAAATAATAAAATATAATACCATTTTATATTTAAAATTTTTTATTATTTTCCATTTCTTAACTTTTCCCCCAAAAGATAATTAAAAATTAGTTTTTGAAGAAAAGGGAAGACTGCTTAACCCCTTTCCTTTCTTTTATTTTTATTTAAAATAAAAACCAAATAAAAAAAATTATTTTTTCTCTTGTTTTCCTTTCATTTCTCTCGCCAATGACAGTGTCATGTGTATTTGTTTCACATACTGATTTTTATTATAAAATTTAAAAATAAAAATATTAAATTTTTATAAATTATAATTAAAATTTAAAATTTTATATATTATATGAATGTGCAAAATAAAATTATTAAATGAGAATATTATAAAATTTAAGATTTAATTAAATTGATTTATATAAATAAAAAATGATATTTTATAAATTTAATTGTCAAAAAAATCAACGGATCTGAACAGCAGTAATTTTTTTTTATTCTAAACTAAGGTCACATTTATAAAAAAAAATATTATTTTTTATATAAATTTAAAATTTTAATTTTAATTGCGTTTAGCGTTTCTTTTTCCCCAAGTAAAAAAGGTAACGGATCTCAGACTCAGACCCTCTCCGGCAAAAACGTAGAAAAGGAGAGAAGGAACCACGAGACGCTCTAAGAAAATGGCGAAATCCAAGAGTGCTCCCACGACTGCGTCTTCCTCTTTCTCAAGCCAACCCCAATCCAAACAACACTACTCTGCTCTCCCTTCACCGGGGAAAAAAAATCCAAATAGAAAAAACAAAAGCCTTCTCGATTCCCGCCTTGCTTTCTTCAATCAAACCCATTCAATTTTCTTTGACAAAACCACCACATTACCCCTCTCCAAAACAATATTTCCCTGTCAATGCCGCCCCTCCCTGGCGACTTCGCTGGCGTATCGGCATCGGTGTCAGAATCCTTCTCCAAAATAATGGGTTTCGTTTGATTTCAATCATTTTCAAGGAATTTTACATTTACCAAACAAAACGGTTCGTGGAATTTATGTAAATTTATCGAAGCATACAAGAAAATTACTTATATGATTAAAAAACAAAATTTAAACTGGTGCAGGGGATGTCTCAGGACATTAATGTAGGTTCTCATATATGGGTTGAAGACCCAGAGTTGGCTTGGATTGATGGGATTGTAATTAACACTAATGGAGCTGAAGCTGAGATTCAAACTAGTGATGTCAGGACGGTAAAAATTTTCTTTAAATTTGATTTTATTACTTTCTTGTACTATTTTATAGCTTTTTGCTTTAGCCTGATTTATTCATTGCAACAAAATCTTATTTAGCCATCTTTCAATTTCTTCACCATAATGTCGGCCAGGTTACTGCAAAGTTATCAAAATTATATCCAAAGGATGTGGAAGCCCCTGCTGGGGGTGTTGATGACATGACTAAGCTATCATACTTGCATGAGCCGGCCGTCCTTTACAATCTGGCCACCAGATATGAAATCAATGAAATTTATGTAAGATCAATGTCATTTTTAGGTTTCAATCTGTTTCTGTTCACGCGGGTGAGAGAAAACCATAAATTATAGCTGCTATGGGCAGCTCTGTTGTTAATAATTCTTTTTGGCCTCATGGCAGACATACTGTGGGAACATTCTCATCGCTATCAATCCCTTCCGAGAACTCTCTCATTTGTATGATGTTTATTTGATGGAACGCTACAAGGGAGCTCAACTTGGGGAGCTGAAGCCTCATGTTTTTGCAATTGCCGATGTTGCATATAGGTGAGCTCAAATTGTGATCCTATCATTATTTGTGTATTGTAAAGATTGTGGAGCTAGTTCACTAAGAATTGCATAAATTTCAACTAGGGCAATGATTAACGAGGGAAAATCCAACTCTATAATGGTCAGTGGTGAAAGTGGGGCAGGTAAGACTGAAACCACCAAAATGCTTATGCGTTATCTTGCATATTTGGGTGGCCATGCTGCTGCTGAAGGACGAACTGTTGAACGAAAAGTTCTAGAAGTAAGCTGGATGATCTAACTCTATTCTGAACTGAAGTAAGCTAATGTTTCAATCTTTATCTTTGTGTTAGAGTCAAGTAAATGCTTGATGCACACAATTTGAAGACTTAATATATCATAGATCTCTAGCGTGTTCTGTAGTAGTAGGTGCTAATGCAGATCATAGTCATGGGGTGCAATGACCACATATTTTGGTGTAATGTTATCTAAGAATGAGTTTAGCTATGTATGAAGGCATTAGTGTTAACACATTGGTAAATGTTTTTGTGTTGTATGCTTTGTGCTTTTAAGTTATAAGACACACTATCTCTTTACAAACTTTTTAAAATTAGGATAGACTCATTGGACCATGGAAAAAATTAATCTACTTATCTAACAGTGTGACAGTTTCTCTCACATCATCAAACACTTAAGAGAATTGTACGCTACAATAACATCCTCGAAATGTCCTTTTATTTCCTCTTCTACCGTAGTTTATCCAGAAAGATTGCAAGAAAAGATTATCTCTAGGATAAAGAATACAAGCGGCAAAAGGGTATATTTCCTCAAAACTTTAACTCAGGTATTCTCCCTAAAATACTAGCATGTACAACAACAGATTTATCATCACTGAAGGAATCTTGCACTTTAGTGGAGGAACATCACATGTTCAGAGAGGAGAGAGAATGTGCAACAAGGGGGCAGATGTTGCCATATTAGCAGTAGTTTACAACTCATTAAAGGATAAAAAAAGAAATTGCTTGAACCAATTTTCTATTTGACTTTTTGCATTCAGTTGATTCATTAGAGTTAATGGAGTTGTTTTTCCTTTTGTCTTTTGGAGTTCTTTTCTGAAACCGCATGTGAGTTAGTTATATGGTTATTTTACTTGTTTAGACTACAAAGTCAGGCTTTCATGTACGTTTCCCTGCATGCTGGCTGCCACAAATTTTGAACTAGAGATGGCAGTAATCTAGGACATGGTTGACATATAAGCATAGAATCCGAATGTGATGGAGCACTATGCAGTGTGGTCACTTGAAATCAGATGATTAACTCCATAGATCTTGTTGTTAATCCATTGCAATTTCAAGCTCACAGTCCCTATGTTAAATTAACGATTTCTAAAGTACATGTTTCAATCTAGATACAAAGGAATCTATTGCAGCTAGACTATGTTGGGGTCCTTTTTGATTCTCATCAGATTCCCAAAGTTGAATCTAGAATTGAGTTTGTTACATAAATGCCTTCTTAAAAATTGGTTTGATGTAAAAACATTTTATATTATGTTGTTAGA